TAAATAGAGTTTTAAAATCAATGAAATTGTTAAATGGGTAAACAAATGAGACAATAAAGAAGCCTGGAGCTAATTTAGTCACATTCTAGTAGTAGTCTGCTTTCAATAATAAACATGTTTGTTTGAAAGCATTTGCTTTCTTTCTCTGCCATTAACTCCTATATGGTCTGATTGTCACTAAATGATGTTCAAAACTATCCCACTGCTTGCTGTTATTAAGCTTTGCATAGTCACCCCATACTTTATTAGCTCAAAAATGCAATGCAAACAATTACTTAAAACAAGGCCAAGTCAATTTTTATAGGCTCCATGCACACTTGTTTAAATAAAGCCAGTGCTGTTGTTGGAAAAAAAAAAACAAAAACGCTGATTTTGAGCATTTTTTATACTAACGTTTAGGAGCGTTTAGAGGTTTTATTTTTATGCCAGAAAAACACTTTCAAACAAGCAGAACAGAAGGGTTTTTTTGCCTCTAAACTCTGAGCTTAAAAAGGCCTCTAGACTACCTTCTTTAGCTTCTACAGGCAAAACACTAACCTCCTCTAAGAGCCAGTGTGCGTGGAGCCCCAGTATGTAAATTCGGGATGCACCAATACCAGTTTTTTAAGACTGAATACAAGTACCAGCATTCTTTTATTTACAGTTCAGCTGTCAGCGGTATCGGTGCAACCCTAGTACATACTGCACACCCAGATAGTAGATGCTCATACACAACGTACATCCAAATAGTAGACGCCTATACATACTGCACACCCAGATAGTAGATGCCCATACACAACGTACATCCAAATAGTAGACATATTGCACACCCAGATAGCAGATGCTCATACACATCGTACATCGAAATAGTACACACCTATACATACTGCACACCCAGATAGTAGATGCTCATACACAACATACATCCAAATAGTAGACGCCTATATATACTGCACACCCAGATAGTATATGCTCATTCCCCCCCCATTCCATCCAAATAGTATATGCCTATACATACTGCACACCCAGATAGTAGATGCTCATACACAACATACATCCAAATAGTAGACACCTATACATACTGCACACCCAGATAGTAGAGGCCCATACACACACCGTACATCCAAATAGTAGACGCCTATACATACTGCACACCCAGATAGTAGATGCTCATACACACCGTACATCCAAATAGTAGACGCCTATACATACTGCACACCCAGATAGTAGATGCCCATACACACCGGACATCCAAATAGTAGACGCCTATACATACTGCACACCCAGATAGTAGATGCCCATACACACCGCACATCCAAATAGTAGACATATTGCACACCCAGATAGCAGATGCTCATATACATCGTACATCGAAATAGTACACACCTATACATACTGCACACCCAGATAGTAGATGCCCATACACACCGTACATCCAAATAGTAGACGCCTATACATATTACACACCCAGATAGCAGATGCTCATACACACCGTACATCCCAAAAGTAGTACACACCTATACATATTACACACCCAGATAGCAGATGCTCATACACACCGTACATCCAAATAGTACACACCTATACATATTGCACACCCAGATAGTAGATGCCCATACACACCGTACATCCAAATAGTAGACGCCTATACATACTGCACACCCAGATAGTAGATGCTCATACACACCGCACATCCAAATAGTAGACCTATTGTACACACTTAGATAGCAGATACTCATACACACCGTACATCCAAATAGTAGATGCCTATACATACTGCACACCCAGATAGCAGATGCTCATACACACCGTACATCCAAAATAGTACACACCTGTACATATTGCACACCCAGATAGTAGATGCCCATACACACCGTACACATCCAAATAGTAGACGCCTATACATACTGCACACCCAGATAGTAGATGCCCATACACACCGCACATCCAAAATAGTATACATACTGCACACCCAGATAGTAGATACCCATACACACCAAACATCCAAATAGTAGATGCCTATACATACTGCACACACAGATAGCAGATGCTCATGCACACCGTACATCCAAATAATACACGCCTATACATACTGCACACCCAGATAGTAGATGCCCATACACACCGTACATCCAAATAGTAGACCCCTATACATACTGCACACCCAGATAGTAGATGCCCATACACACCGTACATCCAAATAGTAGACCCCTATACATACTGCACACCCAGATAGTAGATGCTCATACACACCGTACATCCAAATAGTAGACCCCTATACATACTGCACACCCAGATAGTAGATGCCCATACACACCGTACATCCAAATAGTAGATGCCTATACATACTGCACACACCCAGATAGTAGATGCTCATACACACCGTACAGTCAAATAGTAGATGCCTATACATACTGCACACCCAGAGCGTAGATGCTCATACACACCGTATAGCCAAATAGTACATACCTATACATATTGCACACCCACATAGCAGATGCCCAAACACAGCGTACATCCAGTTAGCAGATGCCCATACACAGCGTACATCCAGTTAGCAGATGCCCATACACACCGTACATCCAGTTAGCAGATGCCCATACACACCGTACAGCCAGATAACAGATGCCCATTTTTCCAAGAACAACGGATCAGTTCACATCAGTTTTTTCATCATTTACATCTGTTGTTTTACATCCTTTACCAATGCAAAAATGCACCGTATGTTCATTTACATCCATGTTTCATCCGTTTACATCCAATTTTCATCCATTCCAGTTTTTTTTTTTTTTACGAAAGGAAATTGGGTTTTCTTCCGTTCAAAAAAATGGATGTTAACAGATACAGACATTAATGTATGTAAATGGATGATCATCCGTTTACATCCACTAGCCCATAGAAATACATGGGTGTCAATATTTCATCCGTAAATGGACAGATAAAAAACAGACATACAGAACGCCCGTGTGAAAGAGCCCTAACAGTGGTTTCACCAATTCCCTACTTATTTACAAAGGTTTTAGATTTAAATACACTTTAAGTGGCTGTATATCTGCCTTCATTCCCATATTTAGTACACAAATATACATTGTTTTTCATATAGATATAATATAGATAGATACAATATATATATTGTTTGTTGTTTTTTTTTTCACAAGTATTTTCTACAGTAGATTTCTGATTAAGGTCAACGGACTCAAGTGGTTATTTTAATTTTTTTAATTGGTATATGAGCTGGTTACTTAATAATGTTCTGCTCATTCTGTTTGTCTTGTGAGTCTCATAAATGTTTTCACGTTATATAATGTGGTTTTTCAAACTGCTTAAGTAACTCTGGTGGTGAAGCAGTATGTAGTACATCAGTTGTGGAAATGTATGGTCTTGGGCTCAGGGTGCAACCTCCTGTGGCACAGCAGTTAGAGTCTGATGTGTGAGGTTGACATTCTGAATTCAGATCCACATATACTGTATAAGTGAATGGCTGTACGTTGACATGAAAAAGCCGATACTCCTTTGCATTGGCATTTACCCACGCATACGGCATATTTTACACTTAGAAGTAAACATATTCAAATTGTTACTCTTAGCACATAGTTGATTGGTTTTTCAAATTGCTTTCTACATGTAACAGACTTGTATACATTTCAATAAATTTGTATACAAATTTTATTATGCTATTGTCTTTTTTTATATTTTGCCTTTAACCCTGTCACTTTTGATTGTAATAAGTCATATAAAATAATAACTTTTGTCTTTTATATTACTGTGTGACCTTTGAGCACATCAACCCTCTATAACTACTCTATTTTTATCATATTCAGCCTTGTCCTACTCATGCCAACATTTAAACTCTACCGTTATTCATCCTTATATAAACTTTGATACTATGTTGCTGATAAGTCATGTTTGTCATTCTGCTTATTTGGCAGGTGCATGAATACGTTTTGGCTGATGTATGATCACTGTTTCCATCCTTTGGGCCAAATTGATTTTTTTAATATGATCACTACTTGCACGGAATTTGCATGTTCTCCCTGTGCCTGTGTGGGTTTCCTCTGGATACTCTGGTTTCCTCCCACACTCCAAAGACATGGTGGTAGACTAATTTAGCTCCTGTATAAATTGGCCCTAGTATATATGAATGTGAGTTAGGGACCTTAGATTATAAGCTCCTTAACCTCCCTAGCGGTATTCCTGAGTGTAGCTCGGGGTAAAGTTTCTGTACCAAAAGCGGTAACCCCAAGCTACACTCGGGCTTACCATGCGGCGCTGCATAGGGAGTCCCTGCAGAGCTTACCTTGTCCTTCGCTCCCGCGATTTGTCCCCTGCAGCGTCCCTGGCCATCTCCTCCGGCTGATGCTGGCATCCGGCTTCTGTGTTCCGGTCCCTGTGACGTCGGGATGTACGGGCGGGAAATTTGAAAATTTTTAAAAAATGTAATTTTTTTCAAAACAAATTTTACATAGTAAAACATTGCTGTTTCAAACCATTTCACATACATTTTGTCCCTAGTGCTTTGTCCTGTCCCCTGTCTGCATTTTGACTGTTCTTTCTGCCTGGAAACTTAGAAAAGTCCATGGCGTCCAAAAAGCGTCCCTTTAGGTCAAAAGCGGGTTTAGATCAGCTAGAGAACAGCGATAGTAAATCAGAACCACTTGCAGAATTGAGTGATAATGATTCGTGGAGAAATTCGTCATTAGACACTGAAAACGATTTTGCGACTTTGCTCAGTGATGTGCGAACTTGGCGCTATTTTTCAATTTCAGTGTTTTTGGTTTGATTATATTATTGAATTAAATGTATTATTATTATATTATTATTTTTTATGATATTATTTATTAAATTATAATTTATGATTTTGTGTTTCAAATTTTATCCTACCCGGGATGTTTAATAGACTCTTGTTCGGACAGATTTCAGTGAGTTATTCCTAAATATTACAGCCTACAATAAAAAAACTACATATTTCCTTGCAAAATAATGGTACCGCTTTCAGCACCAAAAATCTGAAATAATCATACCGCCAGGGAGGTTAAGGGGCAAGGACTGATATGAATGTATAATAAATATGTAAATCGCTGTGTAAATTGACAGCACTATCTAAGTACTTGTAATAATTGAATAATAAATGCGATTTGAACTGACCTGGGTTAATACTTCATCGATCCCCAAAGACAAAAGAAAACATGGGGTGAATGTTTGCATGTATGTCATTGCCTACCTTTCTGGAATGTGCTTACTGTTATCATTTGTCCATTCCCTAATGTGGGACATAGATGGGTCATTTACAGGCTGATTTTTCGTCCGCACGAAAAATCATCCGATATTGACGCCGCCGTTAGTGAGGCCAGCCTGTCGGCCGTTTTTTTGTGTATCTTCTCATTTAGTTTTATCGGTCATGCTGGAAAATCCACGAAAAAAACGGCTGTTTTTTTGTGGACATTGGTGGCAGCATCGGCAACGGGGCCGATCGATTTTTCGATAAACGGCCCGTCTATGGCCTGCCTAAGCATAGTATTAGTGAAGCCTTCATAATCTGTTCCATTAGCTGTTTGAATATAGCGCCTTCCTTCTGCAAAATGTGCATTCAAAGCAGTCATACACAAGAACTTACAGGCTGAAAACTCCCAATGCCAGTCCAGGAAGACCACAGGTGGCACACAAGTGAATGGCTGCACGTGGACATGCTCACATAAAAGCCAATACTCCTTTGCATTAACCTTTACCCACAGATATGGCATATCTTACATGAGGGTCACATTCAGGGAAACACCGCTGAGTATGGTCACATATAGTAATTCACTCTTATGTGGCCTGCATGCGGCACCCCGGGCGTGGGAAAGTGTTTTCCACTGGAGGACTCTTCAGCCTAATAGATCTGTAACTGATGCATACTTTTACGTTTTCTCAAAGGTTAACAACTATGCCCTCATGTCCATCTCTATCCACTCCCCTGGAGGGCTGATATATGCAAGTGACACATGATTGTCATAAGAAAGGCTGAGGTGTTTCCACCTGTGATTGACAATCTGGCTTCATCTTCTTCATACTGTGCCAGTGGCAAGATGGTTGCAAGCAGTGGGAGAATAACTGGGCCTCAAAAAGAAAGAGTTGCTGATTATGCAGTGAATGCTTTATACCAGGGGTCTCCAAACTTTCTAAACAAAAGGCCAGTTTACTGGCTTTCATACTTTAGGGGGGCTGGACTGTGGCCATTGGGAGTAGAAATTGCCCTGTCATTGGGAGTAAATGCATCTTTGGCATTAGGGGAGGAATAGCACCCTATTCTTGGTGTGAGTTGGAGACATAGTGCCCCACCGTAGGTGTCAGTGGGAAGAATAGTACCCCATTGTTGGTGTCAGTGGGAAGAATAGTGCCCCATTGTTGGTGTCAGTGGGAGGGATAGTGCCCCATGTTTTTTTTCAGTGAGAGGAATAGTGACTTATTGATGTCAATAGCAGGAATTATGCCCCCTTGTTGGTGTCAGTAGGAGGAATAGTGTTTTGTATCAGTGGGAGAAAAAGGGCCCGAAGCGCCAGATAAGGGCAAGCAAAAGGCGGCATCCGGCTCCCAGGCCGTAGTTTGTAGACCACTGCTTTATACCTTGAATAGTTAATATTTTGTGTTGGTTTCTTTAAACTGTTGAAGTTCTGTCTCTTCAGAACCATTCTGTGCTGGTTTCTGTAATTGTCCCTGCTACAAGTAAGTCTATAAAACCAGCCTGTTTCTTAGCAAGACTCCATGATGGCTAAAGCTCAGTCTTTCTCTACTAAGCAAGAGTTGTGTTCTTTCCTGGTTGACTACACTAAATCCATGTGACCCTTGGGCAGCAGGATGTACTTAAGCCCCTGCCCCTGAGTTTTGGCACACTTCGGAGGTGTGGCTAGCGTAGGGAGAGAGACCCTGCTTGTTAGGGAAAGTAACTAGTGGAAGGGAAAGGCAAGGAGGAAAAGAGTAGGGATCCTGGTAAGGAGCTTCCCTCTTGGGACCAGACTGGCGAGGCCTCACCCTTTGAAACAGATGCTGTTGGCACCTCTCCTCCTACACTTCCTACTACTTTGAACTGTGAGTTAATTCCCTAGCAGTGTTCTCCCAACAGGGTGTCAGTAAGCTTGACATTGTTTAATAAAAGTTTTGCTGCAACCGGACTCTGTGTATTTATTACCCATACCACGTTGCACCTACCCACATGCATATAACCGTCCAAAGAGTTTTTACTTGCCAAATTTGTGATTTCATAAGTCCTCCTGGAATCCAGGCAGCGGCTATAGAAGATGTGGGCATCTGAAGGATTCTGTGCAGCTGGGTACCCAGCATGCACCTCCCGATCTTGCTCCCTCACAGTAATGATACTGCATGGCGTACATAGAAACTTAGGCTGCCCAAAGACTCCTGGGATCGATGATACAGCGGGACAGCCTAATTATGTCACTCGCCTAGGCGGCTGGAACAGGACATCTTGGGGAAAATTAATTTTAAAAAATGTGCTTTCACAGAACTTTGAAAAGTTTTTATTATCCAATTACGTAAGCACTGTCGGTGGGCTTTAGAATAAGAATAACTTTGAATAAAGAGTGAAACTCCACTAAAGTGCAATTGGAAATTAACTCAGACACGACTCCTTCGAGAATCTGTTCCTACACTCCAGTTTTCTCCTGTTCCAGTTTCTGATTCCCATTGAGGACTCTTCTGACCATGATTCCTGTTTGTTGCCAGCCCTACAAAAAAACTTATTGTGAGGGAAATGCATCAAAGGGTGGAGTCCAGATAGTCTGTCTTATGCTAGGTTCATTCAATAAACTTTGATAGTGGCTTTTTTTTAATCGAGGAGTGCAGCCATCTTCTTTTGTCATGTTATTAATTTTGGGGTATTGAATAAGCCACTTTGAGAGCTGGCACCTGGAAGTTGCCCCTGTGTGGACAGATATATCTGTAGATGTGTATTAAATCTCTTATTGCATCCACAATTCAATAGGCTGAAATAAACTGACCCATGAATAGAGACTATGAAGATCCAAATCTCATATTAAAAAAAAAATCCTTGAAAAAGGAAATGAGGAGGTACATATATGAAAGATAATGAAGAATATATATTTTTTAAAATAGGGATTCAATAAAGTCAACTATTAGTGGTAGCCCTTGGAATCATAAGAGAACAGTTTTTATTTGTTTACAAGATTTAATAATGCTGTCAGTAAAATAGTAGCTCAATTTTGGTGCAATGATACCCTGAATTTAAACAATTTCCTGAGAGGATGTTTAACATATTGAGCACAGTCAGAATAATTTTTGAAGCACTATTCTTATATGATTGATCAGATTTAGTTCATTGTATGCTTGTCCACTTATGTTATATGTGGTCTCACGTGTGGTCTCCTTTATGTTGGAAGGACTTCCGAATAAAGACCTATTTTGGAGAACATAGGATGAATGTGCACAGCACTACCGCTGGAGGACCTGCTGGTTGATTGGGTCCTTCTGCTTCTGGTGATGATGACCCACTCATCCGGGTTTTATTGGGAAATTAGGCCTGGCAAAAGGTTAAGAGAAGGCAACAGGCAAACAATGATTCACTGCAGTATATTTCAATTATGTTAGATACAATAAGAAAATAGATACAACCCACAGAGGCAACTGTAGCACAACAGCTAAGTGAGGTAGCATTGCTGAGGGGTCTAACTAAACTCAAGGAGTCCATCTCTGAACCACTGGCCAGTGGATTCTGAACACTTTAACCTCTTTCCTGCTGCTCTATAGCAGAAATACTGCTACAGGGTGGCGGGGGGGCGCGCAAAATCACGCATATATAAGTGATTTTTCATTTCTGGGTAGGGGGCACGCGCCCTATGCTCGTGCTGCCATTGGCGGCATCACCTGTTGATCACCGGGTCCCGCCCAGTAATTCCCCACCGGCACCAGGCGATCTCCGTGTATCACTGACGGGGGAGAGACCTGTATGTAAACAACACAGATCTCTCACCTGTCAGCTCCTGCACACTTCTTTGAGCAATGTTCTCACAGTGTAAAGCACACACACAGCACATAGTAAAACAGCACACAGCTAACCCTTTGATCGCCCCAAATGTTAATCCATTCCTGCCCAGTGTAATTAATACAGTGTCAGTGCTTTTTATTATCACAGATCACTGTATTGGTGTCACTGGGGGTATCAGTGACAGTTTGTCAGTCCCCCCCCCCCCCCCCCCCGAATGTCAGAATACCCGCTGCAGTTCTGCTCTAAGTTGCCGATCGGCGCCATTACTAGTATTAAAAATAAAAAAATCCAGTATCTATACCGCCATTTGTAGACACTATAACTTTCATGAAAACCAATTAATTTACACGTATTGGGATTTTTTTTTAGCAAAGACATGCAGCAGAATACATTTTGGCCTAAAGGTATGAGGAAATTAGACTTTTTTAAATTTTTTACTAAACGTGTTTAATAGCAAAAAGTCAAAAATATTGTTTTGGTTTTTTTTCAAAATTATCGGTCATTTTTTTTTATAGTGCAAAAAATAAAAACGCAGAGGCGATCAAATGCCACCAAAAGAAAGCTCTATTTGTGGGGAAAAATAAGGACATAAATTTAACTTGGGTGCAGAGCTGCATGACCGCGCAATTTTCAGTTAAAATAACGCAGCGCCGTATCGCAAAAAATGGCCTGGTCAGGAAGGGGGGTAAATCCTCTGGAGGGCAAATGGTTAAGTTGGTGTTGGGAGTGCTCCCTTCCAACTGGAACTATTTGTAATCCCAAGCGTTAACAAGTTAAAACGGGAACATATGGGCATAGGCCTTTCACTACTCCAGACCACACAACACTTCCCTTACGGTAATATAGCTCCTACGCGGTACAAAGGGTAGCCTCTGTAATGGCGACACTAAATACCCACACATTCTAAGATGGGTGTAGTACATAGTTACAGTCAGATTGACACCAGACAAAGTTTATCTAAATGCAAATCTCCATATACAGAAGCCTAGATGATCCAGAGGACGGCAAAAAAACCCTATGTAGCATGTTCCAATTTGCTCTAGTGGAGAAAAAAATCCTTCC